GCTCGCACGACGAGAGGACGAAGGGGGGGGGGGGGGGGGGGGGAACCACGCTGCCCAGTGTCTACTTTATCCAAAACTTCCATCAAAGATTTTGGTTTCTGTCACAGTTTTACATAAAAACGTATTGCATGAGTGTTGCTGATCACTAGGGTTGCCACCTTTTCTTCAAGCGAAACCCGAACTCCCTAGCGACTCACGGAAATTTTTGTGGGAGAATGAGCTGTGGCTTCTTCATATGTAAATAGCGCCACCCATTCATATGTAAATATCACAGTTGAGACTATTTTCAGTGGGGGGGCCAGTAGCTCCTATCGTAATTTTGGTTGCCCCTGTCTGCCTGACATCATGTGTCCGGGTTTCTGCTGCCATGAAACCTGGACACAGCATTAAAAACCCGGACTGTCCGGGTGAATCCTGGACAGGTGGCAACCCTACTGATCACAGATCTATAGGTCTGACTCCATAGGGGAGGGGGGCATGTCAGACCACTGCTTCTCCACAGAGGGCAGGGGGTCCCACTTTGAAGCTGACAGATATTTCTACTGAGGCTGCTTTAGAATGAAAAAAAAAATGTATTACATGGTAGTTCTATGGCACTCAGTCTACAGAATCCAGTGCTGCCTGCTTGCTTCAGGGTTGCCTCTGTGTGATTGACTAATCACATGGGCCATTTCTGCTAGGAGAGAGTAATCCCCCCTCAACACCCACAACTATAGACAGAGTTGGGGACTCGGGTACAGATATATCACTACTGGGGTACTCGATATTTGGGCCTTTACACGACCTAAACTGCAATTATTGTGGCGGACCGACCCTCTGCCTAGAGATCAGGTTTTGTTAATCAGATATTTGCTGACACCGGAACTTCAGGCTCCATCTTTTTTTTTGGTTGGCCAAAACTCCTAAATTCTCTTGTGAAGCGCCATACCTCGATCCTGCCTGTTAACGGGCGGTGCCGGCGGTACACAGCCGGCATTGTTCTGGTCTTCGCAGCGCTATCACCGTCTGGTTGGTGAAGAGAAGGACGCCATTGCCTGGCCCACCTGATTCCAGCACACGTTATCTCCGCGGCCTGGCGCAGGGTGCGGAATAATTCCTTTATCTGATTTGGGAGAATTTGCAGAGTCTGTGGGCTGGGGACCATCTGTTCCCTTCTCTTATCCTGACTTGCTCTTCTCTGCAGAGGTTCATAGACAGTTGAGGAGCAGACTGCCTTGTACCCGATCCCACCAGGAACACTTGCGGTGTCGGGAATATGTAACAAAGCTGAATTCCTGGCAGATAGTAAACAATGCAAATAAAAGTAGTTACTGTATCAATAAAACAATGTAACAATCAGGGACCTGCGGTCAGGGGAGGCGGAGCCTCACCTAGCATTATGGAGGAAAAAGCTGTCTGAAGCTGACAGCTTTTTCTGCAGTTAAAGGGGCCAGAGAGCAGAGAGACCACCTCATTTGTCTTCTGTATCTGAACAGTTCTCATTCATCCAGGTCATGGTATAGCCAGGGGTAGTTGGTCACATTCAACCTGACTTGTTCTGTAATGTTGAAGACATTTTGCTGCTCAACGCTCACAATTGTCCTGATGTGACCACAATGGTCATCATTATGAAAAATAGCCGAATACTTCTATTTGCCGATCACGGCTGGTTTTGCTACCTTGGCCAACATTGCCGGGTTCATCGATAAGGTCCTTCTGTGAAGAAGAGGCCGCCAGAACGATCTCGCTGATCCGTGACTCCTGACGGGCGCATGGGACTAGATGCCATTTTCAAAATTTCTTCCAATGTCTTTTTTTTTTTTTCAGATGGTGGTTTTTAGGGATCCCATGGAAGACCCAGATGATATTTTGAGAGCCAACCGTTCCCGGGAGAAGTCTTATATGTTTGATGTGACCTTCGATTACACTGCTAACCAGGTACAAATATCTAAAGGTTCCTCCACAGTCTCATGTATGAAAGCACTTCCAGGCCTTCATATCAAGGTAGCACTTTGGGCCTCGTGTTTTAGAACTTCTGGAAAGCTTTGCCCCCAGCAGTGGTTAGACTCTGGGTCTCACATGTTCCTTTGCCACTCCTATCAATAGCATTGGAGGACTCAAGTCTAACATCAGGGGGGAGGTGCGGTTCCCATTCTATAAAAATGTCCTAAAAATGTAGGAACTTGTCTCCTAACCACTGCCGAGAACAGGTTCTAAAATATGAGGCTCAAAAATATTGGTGCTCCCCATGTGTTAGGGAAGGAGCGAAGTTCCCCTGTTTGCTGGAGTGGAACCCAATAGCAGGGAACAATACCAGAAGGAGAGTCCAGGCTGAGGTACAAGATAGGATAAGGCAAAATGCGTCGTCAGGGTTCAGTCCGGGTCGAGGCAGGCAGCGAGTATAACAGAGAGACAAACCAGGGGTTGATAACCAGGAGATCCAAATAGCTGGGAAGGAAGGCAGGAAACAGGAAATGAGGCTTCATAGCTGCTTTGGGTATGGCAGAATAACTCAGCAACAAGTCTTGGCTCTGGCTGGGATTTAAACCCAGTAGAAACTAGAAACGCCCCCGTTGTCTGGGCAACAAGTAAGCTACAGGTCCCTGGGAACCAATGGGATGGCTAGGAGAAAAGGGGTGCTCTCAAGGCCCTCCCTGGCAATGATCAGCGCCTGGGGTGACTTAATGGGCTACGGCAACGTCACGCGTGCGCGCACGTCACTCACATGTGCGCACCTGCAACCAGCTGCCTCCAGGCACCAAATCACCCCAAGAAGGACCCCACAATCTCTGCCTTGCCCGCTTTACCCCAGGTAAGAGGGCACCCCTGGTCCCATGACACATGGCCCTTCTATCAACTGATAAATAGCACTGGTTGGGGTATGTCCTAAAAAGCAAGGGTCCTACCAACTGCCAAATACCATTACTTGGTGTATGTGATGAAAACCAACGGTGCTCCCCGAGCCATCATATCAACTGCTGAATACCATTAGTTGGAGTATGTGATGAAAAACCACGGAGCTCTCCATGTTATGTTTTGAGACCTTAGAGCTCATCTGCATGTTATAATAAGTTCAACTATCCATTTGGAGGGCTCTTGTGTGCTGTTATTTTTGCTTCAGCACACATGGCATGGCTGGCCTCATGCAAGGTGACCAAGTGGAACACGTACACCATATCAGCCAATCCATTCCCACCTTAGGCCACAGATCCATATTGGCAAGTCAAGTCTGGAGAAAAAAATGTAGCAGTAACTCACCAAAGGGGAACGGGATAGATACAGTAGGTAAGGGAGATTTGATAACAATACTTGGTCTGCAGGGACAGTTGGGGAAGATGGTCAGGAATATCATGTTGGGCTAGAGCTGTTGGTGATCATTTATGTTCCCTTCTGAAAAGATGGGTTTTGAAGGTGCATTGAAATGGTTGGAGGGCTGATAAAGGCCTGATGGCATGATGAAATGGGTTCTGTAGGTACGGTGCAGCTCTGAGGACCTGGAGAGAGTAACCAAAGACAACAGTAGAAGCTGGTGATTGAAGTTCCAGGGGGGATTGTATATCTGGAGACTAAAGAGAAGATCCAAGAAGATGCCAAGCTTTGTAGGATTTCATATTTTAGAACTAGGACTTGGTATTGTCTCCTGTGGAGTCAACCGAAAGCGCTAAGAGAGAGGAGCAGGAAAGGTGGAGAAAAGTCCTACAACTTTTGTTGTTCATGGATGTCAGCTGTTGATGTGTTTTACCGTATACAACCGAAGATCATGTCGAGGGATGCGCAGATTTAGTGCACCGCCAGCAAGTCGCACCAATTTGTGAACACGCTAGACTGCCCGAAGCTGGTCTCTGGTTGGCTGATAGAGGCCACAGCGAAGTTCTTTTTGCGATGTCAGTACCTGTATCATGGACATTTCAATTACATCACATTGATTAAGAGGTGGCAGATGAGGCCCAGGGCTCTGTTAGCGACACACATTAATATGGCTCCATGGTGCCGGGTGCTCAGGTGGCACATCCGGAGGGAGTAAACATTAGCCGTGTATTTTTTCAGGAACGGTTCCTCAGAAGCAGCCTCCCCAGTGACATCGTAATTACACTTAACCTGTTCAGCTCACCCGGTGCTCGTGTCGTTAGGATTCATGTTCTATAGCAGTGGTTCCAACCTGTGTAACCTCAGGATCCACATTTGTCCTTGGTCAAATGTTTTCCCTCCCCCCAATGTTAAGTAAAACACTTACCTTAAATGATGTCTCTTAATGCGATCTTCCTCCTTCTTTCCTGTCCTTTTCAGTCTTCTCTCCAGCGCTGCTGCGGGTCTCTGATCCAGCGCTGACTCCTCTGTGCTTGCTGGCACTTCCTGTCCCACGGTGTCTGCAGGCGGGTGCACGCGTCCATAGACTTACCTCGCGTCTCTCCTCGTCTCCCGGCCGAAAATCCGAACTGCGCATGCGCCTGCCCCAAGATGCTTTGCGGCAGCCCGAGCAGTTTCGGATTTTCGGACGGGAGCACGCGGCGAAGATACCGGTAAGTTTTTTTTTTTCTTCACTTTTTGCATAGATCTACTGCTTGCTAGACTTGTATATATGCAAAAAAAACAGAGGGTTTAGAAACCCTTTAAGTCATGACCAAAGTTGCACTGCACTGGAGAGCACGACATTGCAGTACCTCCTTGTTCTGGTGCAGGCAATGGAACTATGGGTGCGAGGTGTTTGGGGTGGCAACACAACGCATCTCCCATAGCTCCCTTGCGCGACCTGTATAGGGTACATGAGCCAGATTGTGACATCACTCCGGTCCAGTGAGTCCAATGTTTTGTCTTATGGTGTCCAATGCTTTGTCCTATGGTGTCCAATGCTTTGTTCTATGGTGTCCAATGATTTGTCCTATGGTGTCCAATGCTTTGTTCTATGGTGTCCAATGCTTTGTTCTATGGTGTCCAATGCTTTGTCCTATGGTGTCCAATGCTTTGTCCTATGGTGTCCAATGCTTTGTCCTATGGTGTCCAATGCTTTGTTCTATGGTGTCCAATGCTTTGTTCTATGGTGTCCAATGCTTTGTCCTATGGTGTCCAATGCTTTGTCCTATGGTGTCCAATGCTTTGTCCTATGGTGTCCAATGCTTTGTCCTACGGTGTCCAATGCTTTGTCTCCAATGCTTTGTCTTATGTTGCCCAATGTTTTGTCTTATGGTGTCCAATGCTTTGTCTTATGGTGTCCAATGCTTTGCCCTATGGTGTCCATTTGTCTTATGGTGTCCAATGCTTTGTCCTATGGTGTCCCATGCTTTGTCCTATGGTTTCCAATGCTTTGTCCTATGGTGTCCAATGCTTTGTCCTATGGTGTCCAATGCTTTGTCCTATGGTGTCCAATGCTTTGTCCTACGGTGTCCAATGCTTTGTCTCCAATGCTTTGTCTTATGTTGCCCAATGTTTTGTCTTATGGTGTCCAATGCTTTGTCTTATGGTGTCCAATGCTTTGCCCTATGGTGTCCATTTGTCTTATGGTGTCCAATGCTTTGTCCTATGGTGTCCAATGGTTTGCCAGAGAGACAAATTAAGAGGGTGAATCTCCGCAGCATGGACGCAGCGACCAAAGCCTGACCAGGTTTCCCTTCCAAGCTCTATTCAAAGCTATAAAAAAAAAAGTAGGCACGCTCTAAAAGGTGGGTGAGAGCTTCCGAAACTCCAAGGTGGATGGGAACAGAGCTAGGAAGCCACCAGGTAACTCTGCCCACCGGATTCCACCTATAACTGAAATTGTACTTTTCGCTAAGCAGTTCCTGTAAAGCAGGGGCAGCCAAACTCTGGCCCTCCAGCTACAAATCACATGAGGCATTGCAAAGCTCTGACAGGCCCAGGCATGACTCCCAGAGTCATGCTGGAATTTGTAGTTTCACCACAGCTGGGGGGCTGAAGTTTGACTGCTGTAAAGAAATTGGACCCTCAATTGCTTGATGGGAAAGTCAGAGTTTTTCTTTACAATTAGAATTCCCCCGAAGCCCTGGTGGCCTATAGTTGAAACCTCTGACAAACAGGAAATACTTTCGGAGCTCATTTTCTTTCAGTCTTATTGAGCTGTCACAGGTTCAGGTGCGTCGCAGTAAACACTTGATGTACTCCCTGACCTGCGTGCTTGGCCTGTATGAAGTCTTTCATCAAGGTCGGCCATTCTGCTGTCTCCCTCCCGCATTGGTCATTGTCCCTCCTCCATTGTCCTCCCGCTTGGACTGACTCTCCCTGTTCCCCTTCATTCCTCTCTCTCCTCCTTCTCCTTTTTGCATCTTTCTCTGTTCTACTTTTACTTTCTCGCACTCTCCCCAGCTTGCCGGCTGAGAAATATTTGCCCTTGATGGTTCGCGGTGGAGAAAGAGTGGAGAGGAAACACAAGTCCTCTTCCAGATAGAGTTACGTCCTTGGTTGGATCGGGTTGCTTCTTTGTGAAGTGGTTTGCGTTACCTCTTCACTTGCAGTCTTTCTACCTCCTGCATCTTTGTTTACACGAAGCTCGTGCTGTACAGAACTTCCTCCATATGTTTCCTGTATGTATATATTAATATTCCAAACCGGCCTTGTGCAAAATGGATAAGACTACAGATTGAGTGCATTTAGGGTATGTTCACACCAGTGCTTGCAGCATTTTGATTGCACCGGACCGGACCGAAGGCACAATGTGCCCTGCGATCCCATGCGGGCAATCACATTGCGGCCGGAGGGCTTGGCTACGGTGCCATTCACTTCAATGGCCCGCCACGCTCCCTCTTGACCGGCAAAAAAGTGAGCGATGCAGTGCGTCCCGGACAGAATCGGGCCGGAATGCACCGCATCTGGTGTGAACGTAGATAGCACTGGACCCTTCTGTGCATCCAAATATCTCATTACTATCCCTGTACATTATATTTATTGTGGGGACCCCAGGGGTACACATGCGATGGCGACACAGTCCAATAAAAATAAACGGCTTTTATTTCTTCTACAGGCAACAAAACAAATGGCTTCCTTCTGCAAAACATCAAACGCCAAGCAAAAGTCTTTCCGCAAGATTGCACTGCATAGTGCGTTTTGGTGGTCTCGCCTAGATAAAATCCACTAGCTTCTCTGAAGCCACACACAGAGCTTTCTGTCTGTCTCTCAGCTCCCAACTCCTCTCTCACTCTCTGCCATTCTCCATGGGAAGGGCGGGGGGGGGGGCATTGAGGAACCTGGCTGTGGGGCAGCAGAGAGTAAATCCGGCCTTGTCTGCCCTCCCAAGTTAACCCCTTTTTAGCTCTCAGCTATGCTGACTCTCCACATTATATAAGCTTCCCATTATTAAAAAAGAAAATGGCATTGTACTTCTAGTAGCCAGAAGGGCCAAGTGCACCTGCTTGCATTTGGCCCTCGTGGCCCTGTGCACAATTCGCTAACCTTCCTCTCCTCTGATTGGCAGGAGACCGTGTACCGGCTGACAACCAAAGGCCTGATCGAAGGAGTCATATCCGGTTACAACGCAACAGTATTTGCCTACGGCCCTACAGGTGAGTCCGCGGGTCTGAGCCGGGAGTGCAACTTCTTTTTGTGTTTTTCTTCAACACTATGTCAAATTTGGGATTTCCCAGCAAATTTCACTTCTCTCCTAAGGCTGCCGTGAGCTGCGCTGAGCGCACCCGAAATGTACAATGAGGGTCATTTTGTTCTGACTGTGCTGTGTACAGATGGCCGATGGCAAACCACTAAATTTGATGCTGTGCCCGGGGGCCAGATGGACAGCGAGGATCGGGAACAGGAAGGAAGGGAAATGCAATGCTGGATAAATCTATTTCTCTGCTGTGATGATATTATGGAATGCCAGCGGAGTCGTGTTAAAACAAGCAGCGCAGTCATGTGTAAGGAGGTTGTTGTCTTCTCCCATTAGCTGCATCTTCTGTTGCTATGGCAACAACACAGGAGCATCCATGGGGACCGTTCTTTGGGCCAGAAACCTGCAGATCTCATACAAGGCTCAGCTCGGCTTTTACACCGTGTGTGGTGGCCTTACTTTATAAAAATCCGAAAAGATTACAAAATATCTAAACATTCTGTTTTAATAAAAAGAGTGCAGCAACAGATAATCAAAGGTGAAGTATCAATGATCGGGGTTATATATATATATATTGTCTTACAGGAACATTAAAGTTTATCTAGAACAACTCAACTCAAAGGAAACTAGTCCAGTCAGAGCGGACTGAGAATATGAATATTCTATTATAATGCAAAACCAGATTATTTCTCTCTATGAGCCACTCTGTACTATCACCTGTGTCCCCTCACTGCTTGCTGGGCTACTATAGCTCTGCCATTGGACTGTGTCCTTTTACTGCCCTTCTTTCCTCTCTCTCCCCCCTCTCTTCTCTCACTCTTCCCCCCCCCCCCCCCCCCCCCTTTTCATTCATTTTATATTTTTATTTTTTATTTGGTC